TTTAAAGATTTAAAATTTTTTTCTAAAAATGTTGTCATCCGAGCGTGTTGCTCTTGCAGTAGTAATTGTAGAATCTTTCTATATAAGGGAATTGAAATTCGAAGTAGATATTGTCGAAGCACTAAGGAGTATTGGTGCTAAAGTAATTCATAGAGGATGAGTTTCTCACTGAGTTGTTTGTCGAGTTGTTGTATATCCGAAGTTTACGCTATCACATCGGTGTAAATATCTAGTAAGAAATTGAAAGCACATCGTGGTTACCATTTTTAGCAGTGAATGTTCTTTCTTTCTAGTTTCCGGTGTTCCTGAGCTTGCCTAGGCAACTGGGAATTCATGATGAATAGGATACACTCTAACATCGAAAGCACCGACGTAGAATATTCTGTCTGTGCAGCTTCTTTGATTAGTTGATGATGATGACGCAAGTACTCACATTTTTTTTAATTTAGGAGATCGGGCGACGGAGGCATTGATATCATATGTGAAATTGCTAGAACCCGATTCATAATTCAATGCAAAAATTGGGTCAAAACCGATATAGGTAAATCAGATATTTGGGTTAAAAAATTCAATTATTAATATTAGGTATATTCACAGGTCGCCCAGTTATTGATGAGTTGCTTGGGGTACTTACTAGAACCAAGCAACCAAAAGGGACTATCGGCATTGTAGTGGGCCCGACTATGGGTAATTTTACACCCGGCGCAATAAATACGGTGCTAGAAATAGCAGAACCACCGGAGCCATCGGAACTATTGGAACTATTACCTACATATCCTATCATTGTGACCGATAAGGCCCGGTTACCTAAATATTTAATCAATATGGTTCTTGATCGGTTACATGATGAACCTTATACCTTCTCCCTCTTACCATAAATTTGTTTAATCTATTGTATATATATTTTTTTTTTTACTTTTCTTATCGTATTAATAAAGCTGGCCCAGGTGGCTCGATTTCAATGCATACATAATCAGTTTACTTTTGCATGTATATTTTGTGAATTTATCAAAAATAATATGTATTACGGGCTAGTCCCATTTTTCGCGTGTATTAATAAAAAATTTTCTTGGCGAAAGTGATCGGTGTGAACATTGTGA